TAAATATATATTTATAAACTTCTATCAATTATAAATATACGTACTCTATATAGATTTAAAAAATAACTTTAATACTACTTAAAATAAATTTAAAACGGATTTCGCTAACTAAACTCTACCTCTTTTATACTTAGTTAATATATATATCCCCCTCTATTATTAATAAACTTAATACTTTATTAACGAGTATAAAAACTTTAATATATATATAAACTTACTTACCGAGACCGTTTATAAAGACTTAAAGTTTTATGTTATTATTAACTATATAAACCTTTATACTGTTTTATAAATAATCGACGAGATACTAGCTAATAAAAAAAGGGGGTATATCGAGGCTATTATTATTCTAAAATCTCGTACTTACTATAAATATTTCCGCTAGCTATAGTTTAATAATATAACTAAATAAATAGAATATAAAGCTCTAGATTTTATAGTTTATTAATACTAAATTACTTTTATTATAATATTATTATTTAATAACGAGAACCCGTTTAATCTTTAACTTTATTATAAATATTTTATAAACTAATATAAACTTCCCTCTAACTATAAAATCCTCGAGATCTTAAAAATAACTAGAGGTTAGTTAATAAAATATAATATTTATTTATATTAATAGTTCGAGTAGCCCTTAATATATCGATCTATCCTATTTATAAAATATATATTAACCTCTTTAAAATTTTAATAATACTTTAATATAAATTAAAGATCCCTATATTATAACTAGTCTATATAAGCGGTTACGTAACTAAAAAATTTAAATTTAATATTTATACCCGTAAATAATATTTTATTATTAAGTAACCTTTTATTAAATAGTTTACTATTATTAAATAAATAGTTTAAACCGTTTTATAAAGCTACGAACTTAGCCCCGTAGTTAATAAAAATAGGTATTTATTATAACCGGTTAATATTTAAATATAATATAGAGGACGAATTAATAATAAAGTTATTATAAAAGACTATTTAAGATTATATTATAATTAAAGGAGACGTCTCGACGTTAACGAAATATAATAAACGTTACATTAAATAGCCGCTAATATTTATAATATTAAAAAATCTCTAACCCGGTTAATTAACTAATAAAAGGCTATAATTAAAAATAGTTTTAATAATTTTAAAAAAAAATCGAGATTTAACGAGATTTTTTAATTACTATAATAAAAACTAAAATAATTTTTAAATTATATTATTTTATATAAATAGCTAGAAATAGTCTAAGTACTTAAATAAAGTATAAAATAATTATATTAATTACGGCTAATATAAGACGCGCAGGCTAATAAAAAAACTTTAATAATCTAGACGCTTTAATTAATTAAAAAAGCGGGTTATTACTTTAATAGCTAAACAGTACTACCCTAATAGCAAAACTTATATAGTTAGTAAAAGTATAAAAAAATCCCCGTTTTATTTTAATTATAGATTTTAGTTGATAATATATAAAGAAGTATAATAAGGACTATAAACTATAAAAACTATAATAAACATAATAAAACTTAAAGAACTTTAAAAAAAAGTATTTTTAAACCTCGAATTTCTATATTAATATATATAAAAAAACGTAAATAGATTAAAGATTAAAGGACTAATTTTAAAAAAGAGGGATAGTATTTATCTTTTTTATTATAATATTAAAACGAAATAACTAAGTAATAAATTAAATTATAAAAAACTTAGACCTTTTAAAATTATTAAGAAAATCTTATTTATTAATTACGAGCTAAGACTTTTAAATATAATAAAATATTATCTAGTCTTTTATATTTTATTTCTCGAACTAGTACTTAAGGGTTTATATATAAAAAATTATATTATTATAGAAATAAACGAACTAAAATATAAAGTTAAAAGAATTATTAATTATAGAATTAAAAAAGAAATATAAGAATTCTTAATTAAATAAAAGAACTATAAATATAAAGAAAATATATAAAAACTTATTATAAATTTTTAGAACTCCTAATAGCTTTTTAAAGAATATTAAAATTAAAATTAAAATTGAAACTCTTAGTTATTATAACGTCCTAATTAATTATATTAAAAATATTATTAACTTATACTTTATAAGCTATTAAAAAAGTACTTTTAATATTTTTAAAACATTCTTCTAATATAATATAACTTTTTTTAAAAACTATTCTCTTTTATAAATAGAAACGTTTTAATTTAAATAACGATTTATTTAACTTAGTTTAAGCCTTTTAATAAACCTTAGCTTTTTTTTATAACTCTATAGCTCTCTTTTAAAATTATAACTCTTCTATTTTCTTTTTATAATTAAAACGATTAAATTTTAATACTAAGCGATTAACTATATTTAATTAATTAAACTTAATAAATAAAAATTATAATATTTATAAATATAAATAGTATTAATAGAAATATTATAAAAAATACTTTAATAATAGTATATACTATAAATATTAAAATTAAAAAAACTAAATATTAAACGTTTTATAAATAATAATTTAAATAAAATATAATTTCTATACTTTTATTAAAAGAACGAATGATATATAATAATTTATAACGAAACGTAGCTATTTAAAACTTTAATTTTTTAATTTAATTTAATATTATATTAATATATTCTTAAATAAAAATATTTAATAATTCTTTAACTTAAAAATAGATAACCTATTTATAAACTTAAAGGACTAGACTTTTAAAAAGAGGAACTAATATTATAATTTAATATATATAATAAGGCTAGGGCCTGTCCTATAGAACTTATAATAGCTACTATATTATATATATATAAATAACGGACTTAGAACGACTCTTTTTAAATTAAAAGAACTATAAATAAATTATATAATTATAATTATATAATAAAATAAAAAATAGACATTTATAAATAAATAGGACGTATAATTATAATTAAATAAAATAAATAACCGTTTAATAAATAATTAAATAATAATAAATAGAGATATTATAAAGGATATATTTAAAAATAAAATTTATATATAATATAAATTTAAACCTAGTTTAAAAATAGACTTTTTATAGCTTTTTTAATAATTAACTTAATATTAAATTTTATAATTACTTTTAATTATTTTTATTAAAAACCCTTTTTAATAAAACTATAATTAATTATTAAAGCCTTATTTATTTTACGATTTATAGATATAGCTTTAAAGAAGCTATATATAACTATAATACTATTTATTTAGCTTTTATAGCCTTAACTTTTATTAATATATTTATTATAATTAGCTAGCTATAATATTAATTAATATACGTCGCTAATTAATAAAGTACGTTATATTTTTTATTATAAAAAGAACCCTCGATTAATTAAATTAATAACCTATTTAAAATTTACCTCCTCTTTTACTATAGTTATTTTTATTAAATTTAATTACCTTTTATTTTATATAATATATTCTTATAAAAGTAAATTTATTTTACCTTATTATTTGCCTTATTCTCTATATTACGTAAGCATATTATATATTATATTGATCTATAGTTTCTATAGATTATTATAAGTATTGATTATATAAGTAATACTGCTTATATAAGCTTACGTGAGCTATAGAAAGTACTGGAAGGTAACGGAATGCTTTAGAATTCTCTCGAAGTAGTATTACGTACTACGATTACGCATTTACTTACGTATATGCTTATTAACTATATTATAATTAATAAGTAATAGAATATTCTAGTAGGATGTTTTTATACCTATATAAAGGCGTCTTTTTACTTACCTAGACCTTTCGTTAAGTAAGCAACTTCTTATATAGTAATCTAACTATATTACTCTTTTTAAATTTATAAACCTTAGTTATTACGCTTATTACCCCTTATATTCATATATTCTTGTTTCTATATAAATATTCACTTTAGTTATTCTTTTATAAGAATAACCCTTATAACCTCGTTATAAGCTACCGTGCTAGATATATTTAATATATTAATAATAAAAAGTTAATGTAAGAATTTTAAAAATAAAAATAGCTCTTTATATAAATATTTTTAAGTCTTTTTAAATAGTTTAAACAGTAAAAATAACTCGGGTTTTAATTAAAAAGGATTATATTTTTATATATAAAAAAAAGGTATTTTAAAAATAAAGAGGGTAAAATTAAAAGGACGTACGTTGCTCGTTATAATACGTCGCTCGCTATATAAGTACGTTATATATTTCTTAAAATGATAACTAGAGTTTATTTAATATTTATATTATTAACTTATTAAATAGGTAAACAGCTCTTATTATATTGGCTAGCTATATATAACTAGCGGGCGCCTCTGTTGTGCTCTCAAGCTACCTTAGTAAGCGCGGCGTCGGCGGGTGGTCAAAGTTGGCCGGTTAATTCTTATTGCCATAGAAGCGAGTACCTCAAATCAATACACATATGTCAAATACTAATCTTTGCAATATAGCATGAAAGCAGCCTTGCCATAGGCGGTAAATAATGGCATAGCTGCCATTTCGATACCTCCTCCTCTGTCATGACGTGCCATATCGCGCCTACCCTGTCTTGAACAGTCTTACCCACAGGCAAAACATGGCCCCACTGGCCAAGGACAATGGTGGAGAAAGCTAAGAATAGGGGCTTCCTCTCTCTCCAATCCTCAAATTTGAAGCGGCATAGCTCGCACCCGTCAGCCAGGTTTTGGGCCTCGCAGGCGATCATTGTTGTTTCATTGGTTGATATTTTACTGGCTGGTGGTTCATCACTAATGTCTGGGCGTACCGGTATTATCGCTTGGACGCCCTCGTATGAGAGCGGGACCGCAAGAGGCGGAGGGGCGATGTGTGGCTCAGAGTGGTGTTTTTGTCTTACGCCTAGGCTCGCTCAGGCAACGGCATTTCGTTCTGGGGAACCTTTGAATCTCACTCCCTCATCTTCCAACTCGTTTAGAAGCTGATTTTCAGCGTCATTTGCTTTCTGCGCTCGTGCACAGTGATTTCTTAATATCACCATGACTGGCTGAAAAATTTCCATTCACTCTCGTTTTGTATACTCCATGCCTTTTTCCCGGTGAACTATCACCCGACTCATTCGTTACTTGCGCTCCGGCGCCCTGCTTCGACAAAGGACAGACACGGAATAATTGGGCAACCATGGCATTTGCATTTTTTTCGACCTTAGGGCTCCTGGCTACATTTCAATTGCCTGGACTCGTAGCTGCGGAATCACAAAATATCGACCTCTGTGGTCAGTCAGACTGGTGGAACTCTACTGAAGTTCCGTATTCATGTGTGTAGCTTTCCGAATCGACGCAGTTGTTTTCATACCCATGGCCACTGACTGACAAGCGCGGCAGTTAATAATAATGCCTGGGGAAACGACAGCTCGGGCTACCAATGTATGGCCGTCCATGATAATGGCCGGAGCTTCAGTGTCTCCTACAAATGGACCGGGGATGCATCTCTTGTCAAAGGCTACCCGTACATGAAGGCCCATCCAACCAGGCTCCCTGTCCAGCTATGGAACGTCACTCAACTACAGGTGACTGGCAATTGGCAGACTTTTGTTGTTGGCAAGGAAAAGGCCAGTGCTGAGCAGCAGGCTCAGGCCTTCGATGATGTTTCGCTCTACGCCAATGTTGCTGTGGACATGTTCCTGTCCGATAACAAGGAAAACTCAACCATGGTCGGCGCCCCCATTGAAATCATGATTTGGCCCTGGTGGACGCCAACTGTAAAGCCACTAGGATGGGCTGAGTCCACTCCCGACAAAGACACCGTCACCATCGACGGCACCCCTTTCTCATTATACCATGGCTGGAATGATGGGGGACAGCATGTTTTTTCATGGTTGGCTCGCACCAACCTCACCAAGACCGATGCCGACTACGGACCTTTGCTCACCTACATCTGGAAGAAGGGTATGCTGTCAGGCGCAATATGGCTAGGGCAACTCGAGCTGGGCACCGAAATCAAACACGCCGCAGGCGACATGCACTTTGAAGCCAGCAACTACACCTTGAAGGTTGTTAGGCAAGGAGACCCAGAAGACAAGGCGACCTCAACTTCTATAACTCGATCCAGTACCAGCCAGACCGCGGCGACGAAGACAGTGATGACGACAGCCGCAGCCGAAGCCGCCACCACTTCCGCGCCGTCTCCTACCAGCACTAATGCCGCATCTACTTCATTGCTTACAGAGCTGTCAACAGTTTGGTGGTTCTCACTCGTCACAGTTTTGTTGTGTTAACATAACTGGCTGTTGGATATGTGTAAAGACGTTCGGGGACGAATTGCTATGGGAGTTTGTGTATTCTAATCAAGTATGTTTTAATCGAAGGTCAACTTTCATCCACAGGGAAACCAGGCCTTGAGCGACGAAAAGGTGCTCAGGCTTCGCTCCGGGGCCCAGCATTCAGTGGCGGATCGATCAAGAACGGGGGCTTCTGGTCTGATCTGCTGGAAAAAAGTGCCGGTGCTACCCCGCCGAAGTACTTGTGTTGGCTTAGATCAAGACTGTGTACGAACAGTCTCTATATCAGCTTTTCTGCATTAAGCAATATAGAACGAAGCCAGCGAAGAAAAATTGATTGGTTGGACGTGTTCTAGGCGGTATCAAGCTGTCCTAGTAGCTTTTATGCCCTATACTTCACTCTGAGCCATACGGCGTAGTTATAGATGTGTTATTAGGTTCATGACCATGGGTAGACTTGTTGGAAGGCATGATGGCGATGCTTGAGACACGATGCTAGGTCACTCGCAAATGTTGCAACGACATTGGTGCAGATACACGCCTCTTCCCCGCAATGGCAGGTCGATCTGGAAGGCATCATAGGCTTAAAGGAAATTCAGAGAGTGTTCAGCGTAATTGCTGAAATGCCCCTCCAAGGCCATCAGTTGTTTGCCCAAGCTATAATACACACTCGTTTGAACCCATATAATCACAATTGAATGATATCATGGGCTAGCCTTTTGTGTACGCTCAGCTTCCAGCTCCCTCTCAGCCTGCTGATAGTACTTGGCGGTATCAACACCATGTTGATTGTGGTTGACAAAGTTGAACCAAGGAATAACACCCATGAACAAGGCCGAATATCTAGATTGTCGCGCAGCGACGCCTTGCAAGTGAGGGGTCAATCTGCTCTCTCCGTAAAGCGGCTCGCCGGCCTTGACCTTGGAAACCATTTCCTTCATGTCCAGCTCAACTTCGCGAGCGTTCTCGGTGGCCCCGTAAAATCGCACTGTAAGCCGACCTCGTTAGCATTCTGCCCCTCTTGCAGCTTCCTTCATCCCCAAAGGTCGCCCGGATACACATCCTTACAGCTAGAGCGCTGGTAAAAGTATAGGAAACCACCAGCGACACCAATGGCTCCAGCCAGACGTAAAGCCTGAGCCATACCTCCCTTGCCAACGTGGGAAGGAGCAAACTTCTCCAGGGTGAGGAGAGCGCCGGGGCCAAAGGCGGCAGCTACGGCACCATGGAGGTAATCCGAAGGCCTGGCATAGCCGACAACTCTTTTGAAGTGGCTGTAGTCGTTCTCTGTTAGCTTCTGATCCTATGGAGGCTGCGGCGGGCGGGTCAGGGCATACGGGTCGTTATCGATGAGCTTTGCGAAGAAAGAGATATGTCAGCTCGTATTTGCCTTCAGTTATACAGCAAGGTCTTACCGGGTAATCACTCCTCACGACCTTGGTCGGTGTGAAAGTCTGCACTTGTGCGGTAGCCATTGTAGCGGACGGCAATGCGTAGTCCGATTGCGTCGATGAAGGCCGATAGCTCTGTGTTCTCAGCGGTCAATTCAGATGTCGAATTGGATATGAGCGGACGCTGATTGGGGCCAAGCCACCACAGTAGCCTGAGGCAGCACACAGTTCCAAGCACAGACCAGTATAGGTGTGGCTTTGCACACAAGTGGCACATGGACCACCTGCCCTATAGTGGCGGGCCCCTGGAGGACCGAGCTGCGCCGACGCGTCGTTTAATTGAAGACGCGACTCCTAGTGACATTCCGCGTTTCTTGGAATGCATAAGAAGGTATCGACTCTTCTTGAGCAGATCTCTCACAACTACGACGAAGCGAATAGGGCAACTCGAGTGATGACTTCTAGAACCGTACCCGAATATGACGATCTCGACGTGTACAACGTTGATGACGACTTCGACGACCCTTTCAAATCCCCACCACCCGGGGCCAAAGATGGGAGCACGAACAAAAGAAAGCAGGCCGAAGCCTTGGGCCTTGATGAGGAGGTTGAGGTGGCTAAAAGAGTGCGGGTGCCACGCGTAAAGCTGGACGAAGCTCGGTTGGTAACTCATGTGCTCGATACCACTCTACGGGTTACTGATCTTTGACAGGCTACTGTCAGACAACGGGATACCTAAACTTCGAAAACGCGCTGGTAACCTCAAGTTCAAGGGCAAAGGGCACGAGGTAGGCCCGTTCCGCCTTCTGCTGCGAATTATATTCCTTGCTGAGACGATATTTCTAGTTCTCCGATGCAGCGCGTCTTCTATCATTTTACCAACTTTGGCTCGACGACCTCTTTCCCAAGGCCAAGTTCCTCGACGCTCTGAGCATGGTTGAAAAAGCCGGCCACAAGAGGCAGATTGGACTCAAGCGCATGGAGTGGATCAACGAGGGTAAGCCCAAGCCGTGGGATGCAAACGAGGATAGAATAGAAGATACGGTGGAAGGGGCATCAGAGCAGAGACCCGAACCCTCCACAGCACCAGTTTCGGCAATTGTCCGTCCACAACAAAACCCGGAAACACCAGAACGTGGAGGCAAACTGGATGCAGAAGACATATATGATTCGACACTGTTGGCTAGGAAGCAGGATAAGGAAGTGTCCTCCTTACAGCCTGAGGAACCCGACGACGACGATCTTGACGCGCTCATGGCTGAAGCGGATGCAGCAACACACGCACAAGCACCAAAACCCCAGGAGCACACCGGCAAGTCAGCAGGGGAAGAATTCGCAGATGAAGAAGCCGCTATGGCTGAGATGGACGGGCTTTGGTGACAGGACCAATTCGCAGCAAGAATGGCTGTATGGGCGACGATAATGTTAGCACAAGAATGGGTTGCCCGCATGATGGTTGGCGTTGGGTCATCCAATTCTAGATTTACGGCAAGTACCATCTCGGTTGTCCCGTGTTGATCGGTCTTCTGATTTGAAGACGACCAGCCCCTTTGTCGTCAGCATGAACTTCGAGTCGACAAGGGATGAGGCATGACACGAGCGGGCTGTCACAATGACGTTAAGGTAGGAAGAGACTTGTCAACGTTTATCTGAAGCGACATAAATATCATTGGTCGCTAGGCGACGTGTCATTGAATCAATATAATGTTACAGTCCACCGACATTGTCTATACTGACTGGACACCATGCTTACGCCTGTACACCATTTTCCCATCCCATTCAAGCCAACCGAAAACGCTTCCCAGTCCCATTGGTGTCAGTCACTCCCCGCTTCCTCTTGGAAGCCGAAGCAAAAACATGATTATTAGTTGGTGTCGAGATGTCGTTCGCCAGATCGGGCGCTGGCGCTCTGAAGTGGAGTGAATTCCTGCGGTTGATTTTCCGCTCTTCAACTCTCAGAACCCATAGTAAGGTCAAAAGAACCTCCCTGGACGGTAACGGTGCGCCGACAATCCACGTTGGTGGTGTCGGACTGCTGTCGCGCTGCGCCGAAGGTTCAGCCGACGATCCCCCGACCCGGTCATCGCATCTTTCAGACACCAACCGCAATGCCTCCATCGTCGCATCCATGAGCGGACGCGCCAGAGTGGGGCTGCAGGTTAGGATTCTCTGAAGAGACTTGAGTCTCAGAGTGGGTGAGATCGCGGCCGAAATCCGGGTCCGCTGCGACGGATGCGCCGTTGACGTCGTCGTGGAGGAACTCATTGATGTCGAACGGGTCTTGGAGGAAGGTAGAGTCACCAACCAGATAATCGTGTTCATAATCGAGGGAGTTGGGGGAAGAGAGAAGCCCGCTTTCAAGGACATAGCGATCTGCGTCAAGGGCCGCTGACAAACTGAAAGAATCACCGATGAGGTGACTAGTAGCGTCTGAAGCTGCAGAAAGAAGACCAAGGTCGGATGCAGAGGGGTTTGAGAGGCCAGCCATGATTGCGGAAGCTCCTCCGACAGATGACACTGCAGGTCGCACAACATCGCTGCAGGACGTTGTGTCAGGTCGGAGGTAGACTTCGCAACAGAGGTCTCGGCCGTTGGCTGCTCCTCACCGCCCTCCTCAGTACACTCAGCGATTGGCGAGAGTTCTGGGGAGAGCGATGCGGGATTGACAGTGGCGTTGGGTTGAGATGTGGTCATGAGGTCGTCGACGAGGGACTTGGTCTCCTCTAGTGAAGCGCGGTGGCCGTCGTGGGAGCTGAAGAGCTCTTGGGATAAGGTCACCGAGTTCTTGTGTAGGGGGTCGTTGGGAGAAGTTGAGCGAGTCAACATGCCGGTGTCACGACGAAACTTATTCAGTTCATCCACCAGCAACTGGTTTGCTTTGGTGACGTTCTGGAGAGCCGACTCGAGCTCTTTGTTGCGTCGTTCCAAAGCCTCGACCTCCAGCCGCTTTCGCTCACGGGATGATTGGGCGGCTCGACGGTTGCGAAGAACCCGTTCAACGCGACGTTGTTCCTTCTCGTCTTCTGTCTTGGCTCGTTTCCTATTAGATGTGTTAGATGAGATGCACGAGAGGGCGATGCTGACAGATGAGTTACTGAAACTTACCTAGGAGGAAGGTTTGTCTTGGGCTCAGGAAGAACCTGGCCCCATGACTTCCGCTTCTTCGTTTGCTTCTTATCCGGAGACGATGATCCTGCACCGTCAGGAGCCGGGGTCGAAGCCGTAGATGCAGGAAGACCACCGTCGTCATTAAAGGGCGGCGGTGTCATCATATCGGAGGGATCGAGAGTATCATCGTTGACGACGTTTGCGTCGCCAAATAGCGAGGGATAGATCTCGCCAGGTGTGGAAACGAAAGACTCGGCAGGCGAGTCCTCGAACTTGATCATTGGTGATGGCTGCTCCCAGGATGCCATTGTGTGTCGAATATTGGTCGCGTCGAAAGCTGAGCTCTCGACAGACTCGGTGTTGCGTAAAAGGAAAGGGGCTTTGGGCCTGGAGCATGCAGTGAAACTGCTCGGTGTGGAGTGGATTGGCGAAGATCCGGGGGGGTGAGGTAGTGTGGTTAGGCTAATGTGTGAAGCCAGTGGAGGCAGTAATGAGATGCAGACATATGTCCTCTGATGATATACCTAGCCAAAGCCGCGATGCTAAGTAGAATGCATGTTGGGGACAATGACGACTCGGTGAATGAGTCAGATATGGATCAGGTGAGTCACCAAAGCAAGAGGCACCAGCGTAGAGAGAAGCGAGGTAACCGGAAGGTGCTTGGATGAGGCAGAGAGAGGACAGAGTGTCCTTTGCTGTTTTGTGCAGAGGTGCAAGGTGTTCACAAGACGGGCGGTTGAAGTAGGCGATGTGGCCTCTTTTGTAATTTGGGACCACGTTGGACCTTTCACTTCCAGCTTCCCAAGGGGGTGGGCAGGAACCAAGGGACGGCCGGAGCATTGCTGCCTCAGGTGTTCATTTCGAATAACCCCCCGTGCCCCCGGCTGAAATGGCAGAGACCCTCAACTTCCAAGGGCAAGGTTGAGGCAGGGGTTAGGGGATTGGGGAGATGTGGAGGCCCTGAAGGCAGCAAGGGTTGAGTAAGGCACCTACTTTCTTTGGTAGGTAGGTATTCGTACTCCGTACTCCGTACCTCCCCATTCTGAGCTGGTGGCCGACCTTGCAAGCACGCACGCAGATACGTAGGTGCCACATTGGCACGCTTAGCTAAGGTATGAAAGGTACATTCGGATTCGCCTGTGTCAGAGGCAACATAAGTGTAACTGTGTGGGTGGAGGCAGGGCCTCCTCCCTCATTGCCACACTCTGATCAGTGGTGGATTGTCTTGTTCGTAGCTACCGAAGAGGCAGCTCAGGGCATTCCGCGATCCGCAATCCGCAATCCGCAATCCGCAATTCGCAAGCCGCAAGCCGGCAAGAAGAGAAGTCTCCAGAAAGATGGTACTCTGGAAGGGATACGGAAGTGTGATTGGTGGACTCGACCCAAAACAGTACGGAGTAGGTACGGAAGCAGAGGGAGCGTGCACTGGCCCAGCGGTTTCACTGGCTCGGGAGAGCCTCCCACTGGAAGTTCCAAAAGTAATTAGTGGGCCATACCGCCATGATAGACGGCGGGGTGGTGGGCGGATTGCGGGACACAGCTTCCACCGATACCTATTGGGGTGGCACAGTGGAAACCTGATGGTCCATAATTCCTTAAAGTTCGTGGGCTCTGGCCATGGCAGCCAGCGACAGCGACAGCGACCGCCGACGGTACATAGGTACCGAAAGGTGCTAAGGCAGTGTGCACCATCTTGAGGAACTTGAGGGAGACTCGTGCGATCCCCAAACGGAAGTCAGAGAGAGGGACATTCCATTGCATGCTCCTGACTTCTGCCTCCTGGCGGGTATTACCCCTATCTTTCCAAGAGCAAGTATCCGTACTTACCTTACCTTCCTTTCGGTACCTTGTTATCGAGGAACAGAAGCAATCATGTCTCGCACCAACTTCCATCCCTACTTACCCTTCTGTGTCTACCTATTTCATTGCCCATCGATGGTGGCGTTAATCATTAGTTGGGCTTGTTTGATGTTATATGCGCTCTACTTTGCCTTTGAATGTTTCCCACTCCACTGTTGGCTCGCCCCAGCCTCATCGCTCTCGTCAGATAGATAAGCGTGTCTCGAGGCCGTAGGTTTATGTCCCTTAGGAAAAGGGGAGTGCCTTGCATCGGCTGGATTGGTTGGTGGTCCGTCCCGCTCGTAGACTGAAGAGGAAACTCGGGAGCCACGGAACGGAAACACGCCTGACGTGACCTCCCGGTATAGGCGGTGCCCGTGTGCCCGCATGCTCGTGTCGCTTTCAGGGGATTTCCTTCTTCCATCATCCCCATCCACATGTGCCACATGTATGAGGTGAACTATGAATACAACTCCCAGAAACTTGACAGACTGCACGACTGTTTCTGCCGCAAATTACCATACCTCAGATTCAGAAGGTAGGACGGCATTCGGTCCCGACTCAACTGTAATTAAATGGGTATATTCCCGTCGCCTCTCTTCCGTCCATCCGATTAAAGCCTCAACATCAATGTTGCGTGCCGTATCCTGATGCCTGACTCCTCCGTACGGTTCCCTTCTCCTTTGCCTTTCTTCCATAGTGCTCGCAATCTCGCCCGAGGCAAATGAACGGGGCTCCGACACATGAACCCGTCCGGAATGAGCTCAACGGCCGCTGCCCTTCAGCACCTCATCTGGATTGAGATTTACCATTTTGGATACTTTGTAATACCGCCTCATTTCTGCTTCACCCTCAGCAGTCCGCAGTCCGCAGTCTACGGTCTACCATTCACAGTCCAGGACTCACAAAGTACTCTTGTAGCAGGGAAGTTAGGTAAGCAGACAGTGACACGGCTTACGGTCCTGATTTCACGCGAGGTACCTTTCAAATCTGAACCTAGTTGCCCCCTCGTGCCCTCTTCAACTGTTCCACGTAGTCGACTTCACCCGCTGCATTCCCAAGTCAAACTAGGTGTCAATGATGGCTGACGGCTGACATGCGACAACCTGTAAGCTTAGCTTGGCATGGAAAAGGCAGCTTGAAAGGTTGCTATATCCGTACGTGAGTTTCCTACAACACCTTACCTCAAGCACACAGCGCCCGCACATGGAGCACATACGCGTTCAGTCATTGCGCCGCCGCCGCCGCCGCCGCTGCTAAAGTTAGCTACCCGTTGCTCCCCGGGAGAAGCGGCCCTCCAACACGCCATTTTCCCTCCTCACTTGTGGGCTCAGTCCGTGGACGTGATGCGTGGTACCCGGAGGTCCTAATCTCAGCCATTCGGGTCCTAGAGGGATTACTCGTCGGACTCCATCGGTACTACGGTAGGAAGGGGCAATGGGGGCCTCGGGGGCTGAACCTCAACTCCAACTTCCAAGTCTCCAACCAATACCCACTAACCCGACGCTTTTGTTATTGGACCCAACTCGAGAGCAGATTCTCGTGAAAGTAGGTACCTAGACGACGACTAGAAACTAACTACCTACGAGTCTCAAAAGGTGGCATGATAGCTATCCTTCTAGATTGGAATACGGTGCCATAACGACGCCTCGACTCAGATGTGATTGCCTGCAAAAGGCATCCTGAATCTATGAACTGATCACCTTGAGGACATACCTAGCTGCGGACCGTCGATCTGGAGTCACATAAGGGTTCCATTATGTAGTGTACGACTGGCACTGGGCTGAGGGCTCTCTGCTACTCTGGCCACCCTTGAAACGTTCCGGTTGGTTGGGTCCGGCAATGTGGGACGCGGCTTGCGAATCTCATCGCCATCTATTACCCGTACCACAGCCAAGATTCGCGTCCTATCATGCTTTTCTCCATACGCCGCTTCACAGGGAGAGCTTTCTCAGCAAGGGAGTCTAGAGGTATCTCGTGTCGCGCGTCTCGTCTCTTGTCAGTGGAGCATGTGTGCCTGTCGCCGTTTTCTGGAGAGAATTCCTCTCAACTCACCTCTTGTGGTGTCAGTGGCTCGTTAACTCACGTACCAAGATGCGCTAACCGCCCTTACGACGGAGTACTGTGGTCATAGGTAGTACAACCGAGCCACACACTACCACCACGCAATCCCTGGCTTCCCGAGGCGATCCAGGGGTAGAGAATGCCGCAGATCCGTAGCACTGGCCATCTAATGAGACACAAGGTTCCAGAACGCGACTCGTGTACGAATACCTTTCACCATTGCCCCCGAAAGTGTAAACAGCCTCAAAGCTCCCAGCCTGCCCGGACGGTCCGATAGAAATCAATGAATTAGCGGATTAAACTCTAGGCAGTTCACAACTCAACAGAGGAGGCACTTACTCGTTGCAATATTCGGCAAACCGTGCATCCTCGTTCTTCACGCAGTCTTTACTTGGTCATACTCGGGCCTCTGCTGGTGAGACCTCGATTGCCAGCAGACTACTCCTTGTTGGATGAGTACTAGACTGGGGGTATTGTTGCCTCTGGCCTGCCAGTGGATGAATGGTTGTGTGCAGTTTGAATCTTGCAATAAAGTGTGAGACCCTCACTGAACCCTCAACGGCCGAAGTCATTAAGACCCCTCCCAAGCTTTCCTGGGTGATCCTATCAACTAATTACACCTTATGTGCCTAAGTATACGAGCTTGGTTGAAGGCTATTCTCATGACAGTGGACAAGCCTCAAAAGTCGCCGCCTGCTCATTGTTGTTGATTCGCTGCGAGGAGTGGATCGCCGTGCCCTCAGTCTACTGACTCTTTGTGGTCTTGCTTCATTGCACTTTTATCGTCGCTATCGATGGCTTCAGACTGCATGTGCATCTATCACAACCTTGTGGCTCAAACATCCCCTGATCTCTCGCAGGAGAATGGGAGGCCGATGCCGCTTCTACTTCTTCGAGAGCAGCGTTCACAACCTCGGCCTATCTACCCCACAGCCAAAGTTGACCAAAAAGAAAGGATGAGGGTATACAGTACTGGGGCTGTAACTGGACTTTTGTTTGGTTTGTAATAGCTCGGTATCATTCGATCACGTCAAACCAGACTGTATGTCCACGGTAGCGGTTGGGCTCCGCAGACTTGGCACTGGACTTGATCAGTACTAGGAATCCATCTTGGGTTTTGACTACCTATGTCGGTGTAAATGCTTGATCTGGGGATAGGAGGAACACATGGCGGCATACGAGTTCATCGCAAAGGCGGAGCAATCAATTTTACACTTGACATCTGCAACGAGTTGAAAACCTGAAATAAATCAACCGACACAAAAGGTAGGCATCTTTCGGAGTTACAGTTTCTATGCTGGAACAATATGACGAGCAAGCTGGGACTTATGGACACGAATGGTCGGCTACTGAGGTTACAGCCGGCAGGGGATCCTGTCATTACACCCTCGGTCTGAAGACTCTGGGCAGTGAGCGCACCCGATGCCAATGTCTCCGTCCAGCACAACTGCCTCGCCTCCAATATTCCTGATGTTTTGACATCATACCACAGGGTCCCAGTTGCCATGAGCTCCCTTCACGATGCCATCGATCTCTGAAGTCACCCATCCTCCGTAAAAGTCGCCCGGCTGTGGCTGAACTGCCTCACCGTCGACGAAGCAATTCCACGGGTCAGCATAAAATGACAGGTAGCCCTTGATCGCCTCGAACCCGGGTGTTGGTGATTCATAAGACCAGATTCGATTAGAGACCACCTCAGGCAATGTTCCAGACGGCGGTTCTGGGGCCGTAATTGTATAATATGTGGCTGCACCTTTCCACTCGCAATAGGTGCTTCGACGGGTCGGGGTTAGCTGTACCTTCAAAGCCGCTGGTGGTAGATAGTACGCTGTTGCTCGCGTCAGTTGGACCACTGCCCCCCATTTTGACTCCTATCCGGACCGAATTTATAACGAACTTGGGGGGTGATGTGTCTCCAGAACCCAATAGGCATCTCGAGTTTCCGCAATCACTAAGCCGTTCCACACGATTCGTAAATGACGAGATATCTTCTCCAACAGTGGTGGCCGCGGGAAGGTTTGCACATTCATCCTCGCTCGCGTAGCCATTCTGGTTTACGACATAAATGTTTAATAATGAGGAGCTGAATGATAAAAATGTTCCAACAAATTCTTTTGGAAGGTCTTTTAAGGGGTAATAAGACTCTGGTTGTTCAAGCTGTCTTGACCTAGGTACTACAACCCGAGAGGCGGGGCATTTGAACTTCCAGTGAGTCGTGACATCTTAGACTTCGGCACATCAAAGGGCCGGCCATGAGGTTAACATCAGGTAAACTATATCTGTACTGATGTCTGGTATTGGCGACGACTTACGACCTGGCTCTACGCAGTTGGGATAAGGTAGGCACCGAAAGACACACAGGCGCATGTGGCGGGCAGAATGTGGCTGGTAAGGCGGTGCACCACCGGTTCTCATTGCGTCATCAGCAAAGTCGAGCCAGCCGGTTACACCTGGGATGATTGTCGGGAACCGACTAAGGGTTGGTCAAAGGCAGTGTGTCCCGGACAGGTGACGCCTGGGGGTCCGTTTCTACTGCCTGACGTCTGGCTATCATTTACAATACAAACCTTTGCTATCACTTTTGCGCAACATCACCCAAACCTCGCTACGCACTCAGACATACGCATCGAATAACGAAATCCCTGAAAGCATCGAAATACCGCTTATCATACGCTCCCGACCGCCCGCCGACTCACGATAACCCCTCATTGAAGACCCCGCCACTCAGTCTATCTCCGACTTCCGACCCGATAGGCAATCAGCCACGATGTCGAACCGCGCACTTGCCCGCGACATGCAGGTCGAGTTCCAGGCACGAGTATGTCGAGATACTCGCCCAACTTCCATATTGAATCTCCCTGCGCAAACTTGGGACACTTGCGGATTCTCAACACCAGTAAACTAATGGGCACTTAGTTCCAAGCGAAGCAAGCCCGGAGAGAGGCGCAAAAGGCTGCCAAACAAGATCCTATACTGAAGAAGCAGATTCAAGATGTACGTGATTGAACGATGAACGCATTTGAACCTGCTGACACCGAATCACACAGCTCCTCAAGAAGGGCGAGACGGCAAAAGCCTACCAAAAGGCCAAAATGCTTCTGTCTAAACAGGCCTTGGCTCAACAGATGGACCAGATGGCTGATATGGCCGAGCTTTCTGCCGCGCAAATTCAAGCCAATAATTCAATGAATCGCATGACGCACATGATGGGTCAATCATCTCGCACTATGTCTGTGGCACAGAAGAACATGAACCCCGAGAAGGTATGTCACCGAGCCGTGAGCTATGAAACATGTTGTCGTGACTTGCTTCCTAACTGCCTGCTATCAGACCCTCGTCACCCTCGAGCAATTCAAGCAACAGAACGAAGAGTATGCAGTTTCAAACGGCATCTATCAGGATGCCATTTCACAGACTACTAGTGCGCAAGTGTCGGATGACGCTGTACACGAGCTGCTGGGCAAGCTGGCCGATGACGCTGGAGTGCAGCTCAATGCTGAACTTAACAGTGCGGCGCCAGCTAAAGAAGAGCTCGTGTCTGCTGAGCCTACTGCAGAGGAAGAAGATGCGTTGCAGCAGCGACTACGTGCGCTGAGGGCTTGAATTTGGGGCGGAATAGCGTTGATTTGAGCATGATGGGATGGATGGCTTCACTCGTTTGGTATCTTGGGAACTAGGCGTTATACCGGGCGTGGGCACGCGCACAACACATTCAGTATTGAGAAGAGTAGCAGGTCTTGAACGAACCTCTGGCGCAAAGTCAAATTTCGAAGCGAAATGGAGGCGGCTGGAGAGATGACTACTTTGTTTAATTCCTAGACTAAACTAAACCAGCTCCCATCAACCTCGAGCAAAGAACCGAGTGTGTGCTTGCCTCTCACATACAAAACAAGGTTTACATATACAGACTGGCAACTGCCGTGATATCGCGCTTGATCATCTCTTGCGCTGTCTGCATCTTCTGGTACAATTCCGGGTCTCCAATGATGCGAGCGGCGTTCTTTACCTCACGACATGTCTCGTCCAGACGTGTGATAGTCCGCACAATAGTTCCTTCCAGCACATCGGTCAGATCAGTAATGTTCTTGAAGCTCATGCCTCGCGCCCATTCGTAAACAACTTCCATCAGACCGAAGCGAGGCCGAGATATAAAGTCATTCGAATCGTCTGCAGACTGTATGACTTGGTGCAGCGTCTGGACTTCGTTGACCTTCTCGCTGATAGCAATGATGGTATCTTTGCCACGCTCGAGGTTGCCCGTAAGGTTTGGTTGTGTGTCCGTCTTTTCCTGGAAGACAAACGCCGAAAGCAAGGCAGCGATTTCGGCTGGTTCATAATCGGCGAGCACATTGTCCAAAATCAACTCTGTCAAAACGAGTTCATCGCCCGAGTGAATTTCGCAGGCAACCTTTCCCTTTAGCAGTATCCTGGCACTGTCGTCAATGAATTGGAGCTGTTTCAGCACTTGGATGCGCTGTTCGTAGTCTGGCAGAAGCTGAAGGTTTTGGTCTGAAAGGGATTGCCGGAGCTGAGAGATGTGCTCCTTGATGAGCCACTGATCATGGCACATGGCAAACTGTAATCAATGTCAGCGATTGAACCCCCTGTCAAGACAGCCATGTTTCAACTTACATGCTTCAAGAATTGAGGACAAGAAAGAGCAGGCGAGGACGAGGCAAGGCCTTCCGCATCCTTTCTCTTCTTCATCACCTCTTGAAATGAGAGGTTTTTTATCTTGGAGAGGTCCATCTCGTCCCAAAGATCATCCCACGACCGGCACAGCGCATGAAGTCTGTCCTTCGCCTTCGCGTACTTCTCCCCACCTTGGAAAATCTCTGGCACAATACCCTTGGTAACGTATCTCGTCAAACATTCAACATCACTCAGAGGGACCTGCAGGGTCTTAATCCGCATGTGCTTCTTCGCCTGCGGTAGCGGTGTCAAGTACTTGCGGAAGGCCGGGATGAACGGCAGAAGATCTGTCGAATCACGAGTTTCCCTCATGAGCCTGATCTCGCAAACATGTAAAGTAGGTCCACCTTGCCCCTTGTCACTCGCGCCGTCCGATAGCAATATGCCAGGTGTGCGAATACCGTCCCTGTTGTAAACGATCAAGCGGGCCTGGCTGAACATCTTGCGACCGATGGGAATACCCATGAGAGACCTGTAAACTTCCCCAGTGAGTTGCTTGTAGTCCTCTGACGCTTGATGGCACTCGTCCATAGACACGTCGCATACGCTACATGAGTCTCGTTTGATCTTGGCCAAGTCGGCCTCCGAGATCTTGACTGCTTTCTCATGTTCAGGGAGCAGCTGCTGAGTGGCATGTTCCGAGAAGCTACGCTTGATCATCTCTTCAATCTTGAGAGCCTCGACTCGGAGTAGGTTAAGGATCATGTTGTAAGTGAGGCGGAACTGGGATCTGAGCTTCGACGGCTCTCCTAGAATCATCTTCTGAAGGTCGGCAACGGGAGGAGCTTCGTCCCCGCCCGGCGGAACGATAATGACCGAGCCGACTGTGTCCAAGCCACGACGACCTGCTCGGCCGGCCATCTGTGTATATTCGCCAGGAAGCAGGTTTCTGAAGGAATGGCCGTCGTGTTTACGGTATCCGGAGAAAACGACTGTTCTAGTCGGCAGATTGAGACCCATGGCGAAAGTCTCCGTGGCAAAGAGTACCTTGACAAGTGTCTGGGCGAAGAGTATCTCGACAATCTCTTTGACGATTGGCAACAGCCCTCCATGATGAACCGCAATACCTCGGGACAGTAGCTCACGCAGTCTGATAATCTGTGGCAGAGCCCGATCCTCGGGCTTCAGTCTGGCAATGGACTTCTCGATAGTCATGTGGATGGCACTCTTCTCAGTCGCTGTGCAGAAGTCCTGGTTACTGAGTGCATCGGCATTTTCCTCGCATCGCTTCTTCGAGAAGACAAATATGCAAGAAGGCAGAAGGTTCGACTTCTTGAGGAACTGAACCAGATGAACCCAGAGGTTCTTGTCTTGGGCTGCAGAGGTAAAACCACCCTGGCGACCTGTCCGTCCCATGTGACCCGGGTTGTGGCTGGCGCGCGGCGCTCCACCACGGCCTCTTTGTTGAGGACCGCCGCCACGCTGACCCCCTCGCTGCCCACCGCGCTGGGGTCCTCCTCTTTGGCCTCCTCTCTGACCACCGCCGCCGCGAGGCGCGTTAACTGGCTCGGGGGGCTTTGTCTTCTCTTTGCCCTGAATCGCCGAATTGGCCTCCTTCCAACCCTTCTCGATGAATTTCTTGTCAGAGTCAACGATTTTGTGGATATTCTTGCCAGCCCACAAGTAGTGTTCCAATGGGATAGGTCGCTTTGGTGTTGAGATGACGTAGATATCTTTTTGCTTGGTGCGTCCAACCCAGGAGGCAAACTCATAGGTATTGGGAACCGTTGCCGAGAGAAGGATGAGTGTTACGTGTTCGGGAAGCATGATGATGACTTCTTCCCAGACGACGCCGCGCTCAAAATCGTTGACGTAGTGTACCTCGTCAAAAATGACGAACTCCACGTCTCGGATGAGATCGGCTCCACGATAGAGCATGCTTCTTAGAATCTCTGTTGTCATAATCAGGCAACTGGCCTCCGGGTTGATTTGAACGTCACCCGTCAGGATGCCGACCTCGTCGAATGTTTGACGGAAATCTCGGAACTTCTGATTACTCAGGGCCTTGATCGGGGACGTATATATAGCCTTGGTCATGTGCTTCGTTGCGAGGGCAATGGCGTATTCGGCAACGACGGTCTTACCGGCTGATGTGTGTGCGGCGACGAAGACAGAATCGCCGCTCTCGAGATGATAAATGGCCTCCTTCTGGAAAGTGTCGAGCTCAAAGGGCCAATCTCTTGCCATATCGGGCACCAATTCTCTGAAGTTGGTGATGTCCCTGTTGATATCAACCATGTGAGCCCACTCTCGGCCGGCCTTCCTTGCACTCGATGCGGCCAAGGCACCGTGAGGTTCGAGTGCGGGAAACTCGACAGGCAGAATAGCGTCAATATCCTCGCTGTCTTCTTCATCCTCGGACTCAATCTCATTCAGCCTATCGCCATTTGTCTGCGCTTCGCCGTCTGCTTCGTCAGTCTCTGGGGGTTGCTCTGGTTCTTGGCCCAGCTCTTGCTCAATCGCCCTAGCTTCGTCCTCATCTGGCTTCTTGTGATCGATATTGAATCCTCTACTCAGTCCAGGCGCAACCTCAAGTAGCCCGCCCTCGGTACCAAGCTTGATAACCCGCTCCAGCTTGTTATTTGATGCAGCTGTAGCCTCTCCGCCTCCAGATCGGTGAACCTGGTCCTCGAGTGCGGCGGTTGCCTCGATTCCATCAAGACCACCAGGTGCGAAGGGGAAGAACCCGGCAGCTCCACGGACGAAATCAGCCCTATTGGCGGGCTTGCGAAGAAATGAGGTCGAATTCTTGGCGGTAGCGCTGTTGGCAGGCACGGTAACGTTTCTGTAGCCACTCACTCTGCCCTCAAGACCGTGCCGTTCAAAACGAGTCACAGTCCTGGTTTGAGGATTGCCAATCTTGAAAAGTTCCGTATAATCCACGTGGCAATCCCAGCGCCTAGGAGAAATCAGCTAATGAATAGAAAAGGCAGAAGTTGTTGGCGACTGAAGGGCATACTGCTGCAGGCCATTGAGCCATTCAGGTGAGAATTTCATGCATGGCATGAGAAAGTCAGTCTCCAGACTCGTCTTCAGCTCCGAAGCATCTTGCTTGACGCGCTTGCTGGGCCGTTGCTGAAACAAGATGTCATCAATGTCGGAGTCGGGAAGGTCCTCAACATGGAGACCTTGAATGGCCGTGGCCAGGTCGGAAGCCATCTTGACGACAATCAGCGGCAGGGGATGCGTAACGTTGTCGAAAGAATGAGCCGAGACGAAGGCGAGATGAGATTGGCTCTGAGCCTACCTTGTCAATGACAAAGGCCGAGTGCTGATATACCTTTAGGTAAGGTAGGTAAGGAAGGAAGAAGGGACTTGATGTGGGATGAAGTTAGGCGGTACGGTACCTTACCCATAGGCGGGACCTCAGTGGTCACTGATGACGCTGTGCGGGGTGGCCGCGCTGCAACCTAACACCTTAGGTAGGTACCTCCACTTGTGTGCCCCTCCTACCTCTCCTTACCTTAGGTAAGGCAAGATATTTGAGCACCTCAGGTAAAAGGCCGTATGGATACATACCTTAGGTAGGCACATCGCAAATTGACCATGATTTTTAGGGTAGGTCTTTGGGTAATCTTCACTCAAAATGGGCAGCCTTGATGGATGACTTCCAGTCAAGATCGCACATGAAGTACCTTAGTCTCTGCCGTAAAGCGATTACGATTTCCATACAAGTTATATTCAGGCTCCTGGGGTTCAGTGACACATTCATCTCATCACTGAATAGCTTCAGGCAATAGATGGCGCACATAGATGGTATCCTCATTTCCCCAGTCCCTGAGCTCTGAACCTATTTTACCGAGGGATGTTTTGCTACGTCACTCTGGCATACATCGGCCGCCTCAGCCATGACAACATTGTACTCCGTAATGGCCAAGTGCTCACTACTTCATGCCATAGCGCATGGATCATCGCATACAGTTAAAACCCCAGGGTATGAGATGTATATATGACAACTAAGCAACATACAAGTACAAGCTTCTTCCCCAAGTCTATCGAGCTTCAAGGGCCATTATAGATCAGCTTCCACCTCGGAAGCCACAAAAAGGCAGCTTGCCCAGGCCTGTATTCTCTCGTCCACAACACGCAACTCAATTACAAGCGCAGCATCTTGGCGACGTAGTTCTCAATGATCTGCTCAGTAGGGAAAGCCATCTCTTCAAGGCCAGCCGCGTAAGGGGTAGGGACATCGGCACCAGTGACCCTCTGGGCGGGCGCATCAAGGTAGTCGAAGGCGTACTCCATCGTCACAGCCAGGATTTCTGAGCCGACACCGTAGGCGGGGAATCCAGACTCAACGGAAAGCAGGCGGTGGGTCTTCTTGACAGACTGAACAATGGTCTCGACGTCCAAGGGCTTGACGGAGCGCAGGTTAATAACCTCGACATCGACGCCGTAGTTCTTCTTCAAGTTCTCAGCAGCAACCAGAGCCTGGCCGACGCATCTGGAGAGCGTGACAATGGTCAAGTCCTTGCCGGAGCGCTCGATCTTGGCCTTGCCGAAGGGGATAACGAAGTCATCCTTCTGAGCAGCCTCCGACATGGGGAAAGTCTGGCCGTACATGAGCTCGTTCTCGAGAACGACGACGGGGTTGGGATCGCGGATGGCAGCCTTGAGCAGACCCTTGGCGTCCTCGGCACTCCAAGGGGAGACGACCTTCAGACCAGGGATGCTGCCGTACCAGGCTGAGTAGTCCTGAGAGTGCTGCGCAGCGACACCAGAGGCGAAGCCATTGGGGCCGCGGAAGGTGATGTTGCAGGGCTGGATGCCGCCGGACATGTAGAGGGTCTTGGCGGCGGAGTTGACGATCTGATCGATGGCTTGCATGGCGAAGTTGAAGGTCATGAACTCGCACTGGAGGAAACACAAGAGTCAGTCACGGGCCACCGAAACCTTGATTCCATAAATTTGAACTAGAGAGTCGTTGTTCGGATATTGAAACAGCCAAATCCCAAGTCCATGGATGGACCTTATCGACTTGCCGGGGAAGCAAACTTACCACAGGGTGCAGTCCGCTGAGGGCAGCGCCAACGGCGAGACCACAGAAACCGCTCTCGGTGATGGGTGTATCGATGACACGCTTGTCGCCGAACCGGTCCAGAAGACCCTTTGTGACCTTGTATGCGCCGTTGTACTGAGCGACCTCCTCACCCAGAACGAAGACCTTGTCATTGGCCTCAAGCTCCTCGGCGAGGGCCTCGTTGAGGGCCTCTCGGACAGTGTAGTCCTTGGTTCCCTTTGCGTCGGCATATGTCCGTGACTGGATGGTGAAAGCAGCAGGCCGGCTAACGAACTGAGAGATGGGGGAGGTGCGAAGGGAGGCAGCTCTGGCAGAGGACGCCAGGCGTGCTGCGGGACGGAGGAATCGGGACATCGCGAATTTTCGACTTGGGAGGGTTGGATGGTAGAAAAGACGCCCAGGTCGCAACGCGAAAGAAGCTGGTTATCCCAAGAGGATCTGGAGAATGAGGAGATAAGAAGAAAAACGTCGTGAATGGACAATACGCGACCTCGGGTGGTGGGGTTGACGATGGCCAACGACGGGAATTGAACGTCGAAGTGAGAGGGATGAGAAAGTCGACGGGGAGCTGTCGAGGGATTTCGCAGCTTTTTTTTTTTGCTCAGCTCTATGGGCGTTGAGTCCGTTGAATTGCGGCGAGCTGCCAGACAACAGCGTTGGGGAGGTCCTGGGCGTGGAGCTAGCCCTATCTGGTATTAGCGGTGTTTCTTGGCATTAGATAATCGGGAGTATCTTTTCTGAGCCAATCACGCTGTATTTCAACGATTAGTCCCCATCCAAATTGCGCTCAAACCCAGGGCCGATTTAATCCCGATAAGCTCCGCTGGTTTCCTAAGGTACTCCCTTCCATAAATTTGCTGCGTCAATACGGGTACACTTTGTATTACTCCTGGCTAGCCCAGCTGACGGGATGTTTGCATCGGCCTTTCTACGTGCTCCTTTGTCGGCGTCGGGCTTAAGCTCCCCCTCGAGGCGCGGCCGGACACGGATCTCCATAAGATTCCTACTCAGCAAACGCTTTCTTGGCACCATGCGCCCGGTGCCACCCGCTTCCATCCGAACGGCAAGCCACTTAGGTCCGAGCGAGAATCAACGAAAAGGGACTCGATGAGGTGGTCTGGGCTATAGGCATGCATGTTCCACAGAAAGTCTTTGAGTAATACCCAGAACTGCGACGGTGATCATGTGCACAGCTAACACCCTCATCCGCAACCCTCGTTCATGGCTGCTAGGAATGAAAAAGTTCGAGCAGTGCGCTTTCTTACGTGGCCTGCTATAATGGGCTCGGGATCATTCGTTAAACTTGCTATCTATCGTATATACTGCCTTGCAGAACAGACCAAATTTCCTTATCCATAATCTCAGCCGGTACACGATATGTACCTCCTGCGTACGGACGCAGGTGACAGGAAATGCAACCTGCTGCAATATTTGACCCGCCTCCATAGATGGTGAGCTGAGAAGCGATGGGAGCTAGATGGACAAACAATAGTCCGCCGAAAGCTTTTGCATGTGGAACTCTGGTGTTAGACTCACGTCTAGGTAATATTGTGTGATAAGGTAGTCAGTCACTTTTGCCAGTTAATCGGTGAACGTATTTTCCTCTAGAAAAACTCTCCCCCACATTTCCTAGCTTCCTTTCTATCATGGCCAACCGTGAATTGTCGTTAAAGCCGTCTGGCTGTAGTTGCCTAATTACAATTAAAGTACTGGTATAACACTCATACAGCGAGTAGAAAAAGTCATGGCCTCTAATCTTTTTCCGTTGTGTCCATCTATGCCGTCATCTCTGCATCCAAGGCGTACAAAAGCGACGTCTAGTTGGCGGGCTTCTTTCCGACCATCAAGTACATAGGCGTGAACAAGTGCTCTTTGCCACCAGCAACAAGGCAGTCGCCAGCCCATGCCAGACTGTCGGCCGTCTTCTTCGTACCGGCAGGGGCAATCTTGAGAGCCTCGAGTCCACCAACTACATTGTGCATGAGGAATCGTCCCACCTTGGTCATGCGAACAATGGTGAAGATGTCAAAGACGGACTGGATGTACTTGAGCTCGCCTGACAGGGGCCAGTACCATGGCATGGGATCGGGCCTGTCGGCAAGATCCTCGTGGTGGAGCATCTCGAACCCGGCAGTCTTCATGGCGGCCAAACCCTCAGAGACCTTGCACATGTTGGAAATACCATCACCCTGCTCGATGCCCAAGCGGATTTCACGGTGGGCCAGGTTGTCGTTGTCGTACTCGTCCGTCATCAACCACTCATAAACACCAAAGACGCCACCGGGCTTTAAAACACGGAAGATCTCGCTGTAAATACCCTCCAGACTGGGTGCGTGGACGGTGGCCTCAATGGCGTAGACAGCATCAAAGGAGTTATCGGGGAAAGACATTTGCTGCGAGATCAACGTTAATCATTTGAAAATGAATCTGATCACTACAACAACCACGTACCATGAAGTCTCCCTTGACGAACTCGAGCTGCTTCGACAGGCCCTCCTTCGCAGCGTAGTGAGTAGCTCTGTCGATTTGGTAGTCGTTGTTGTTCAGACCGGTGACGTGGCAGCCGGTGAACTTTGCGATTTCGCGCGCAGGTCCGCCAACACCACATCCGACGTCAAGCACCTTCATGCCCTCCTTGATTCCGATCTGGTGGGCAAGGTAGTGCTCATGACGAGCGATTGCCTGATAAAAGGGCTCGCCGTGGGAGAAGCGGCAGAAGTGGAAGGACTGGCCCCAGCCATACTCGTACAGGTCGGTCGCCAGGTTGTAGTAGCTACAAAACCAGAATTAGCTAGTGTTTGTACAGGAGTGGGGGAATGCGCCGCGTACTGTCTGGTCAAGGTCGCATATTCAGCTGTACGAGCCTATGTCAAGCAAAGGTCAGCATCCGTGATAAGTAAAGATAGGTTCAAGGCTGAAAAAGGGTCGGGTTGCATACTGCGCGCTCCTCGGGAGTTTCGTCCTTTGCGGCCTTGTTGTCCCAGTGCTTGAAGTACTCATCGACGGCAGCCTGCTTCGCATCACGGCCTTTGCTGAACATGGCGGCAAGACCACCGGTGGCCTGAGCACTTGTACCGTGCAGTGCCTTGTTGAATTGAGCATCGCGAGCGTGGTCCTCGCGCTCGAGGTTAGAGGCTGTTGAAGTGACCATTGTTTCGAGTAGTGAAGAGACACGATGTAGGAAAGTTGTTTGCAGAAGAGAAACTTGGTGGAGAGCTGAAAGGCTGTAAAGTACTTGGTCTGAAGGGTGAAGGAGGGAAGGAAGGGGAAAGAATAGATTGAAAGCGCAGGACAACAAGACCGGTAAGGTAGGACGGGCAGTCGGGTTGGTATTCGGGAGAGCGGGGGCATAGGCTTTTTTCAATGGTGACCAAGTATCAAGCGGAAAAAGGAGTCGAAGGGACGCGGCAACGGTCGAGATTGTCTCGTTTTGGCTGTGTCAAATTTCCAACATCCCCCTCCTAGTCCCTCTCAGGCTCCCAGTCCACTGTCCCTGAGCGGTCCAACAACTAATGACAGGCCGCAGCACGGTAGTACCTGCCACCAGGCAAAGTCTGGTGCAATAAAATGAGATGAGAGACGCGAGGCCAGACTGTTGTCCAATGTCCATTTACCTAGTGGTGCAGGGATCTCCAGAGTTCAAATTGACAAAGACCTGGCCACAGGGGTCCCATCTCTGGCAATTGTCCAATCGTGGGGCGTAAAGGGTTGTAGTACTTGCTTTGTTGAGCAGGCGGTGAGACGACGGCTAGGCGGGAAACATATGCATACCGGCCAGGGGCAGTCCAATCCGAATACGAATTCGAACAGCTGGTAATGATTTATAGCCTATTGTTCTTCTACCTAGCACGATCTGATAGACCGACACACTTTGCACATATGTCTTAGCCTCTGAGGCGCCTTCCAGATTATTCCCTGATGTGGTTGGGCTCGAGTACCCGCCACCTACCTGGTTCTAGAAATATGCAGATATCTAGGTAAGTATCATCAACCAGTCGTGTCAACAGTCGCCTTAGGTACTTGTTGATGCGTTTCACGGCTCAAGAGCATCTGTGGGGCTTTGGAGACGACCGTCTACCCTGGTTTCACAATCCGACCAGGAGGGCATCGTCGATCGGGAACTTTCTTGGTCTCTGGTAATCCACAAATACACAGCACACACTATTCGTACTCATGATGCCTTGATTCCAGGCTGTCCAGTTTAATCCCTATAACTGAAGTACCTTAGGGTAGGGTACTGAACAAGGCTTGCTTGCGCGGGGAATAGGTAAGGTATTTGATGGCTGGCTCAACTTGCAGATGTGGCGTATATCACGTGAAGAGCCGGGACGTGAAGCACTGATACCTACTACGTAAGGTAGGTAGCAGCTCGACGCCACACTTTTAGGTACGCACTCCGTATCCGAACAGATACCTAGAGTGAGGAAAAGTGGCGGGGAGTGGGTAGGTAGGCACCTACCTAGGTAATGAGTGAACCCTGCGCGGTCGGGCCCGCGCTCGATGTTCATTCCTACATAGTGTCGCGAGCGACATCAGGATTCTTCGCTCGCCACACTGAAAAATCTCACGATCCGTATCATCGACCACCTCACATCACGATCCGCACTTGTCGCAGAGCTCTGCGAACCCCGAGGCGTCATGCCACCACAAATCAAACAAGACCTGAATCGCTCAGGCTGGGAATCGACTGATTTCCCTTCTGTTTGCGAAAACTGTCTGCCAGAGAATCCTTACGTCAAAATGTTGAAGGAGGATTATGGCTCCGAGTGCAAATTGGTATTGCTACCTTCTCCGACACTCTTTTTTCAACACTCATCATTCTGCTAACATTGCCCGTCGTAGTGTACGAGGCCTTTCACTGTCTTCAGCTGGAGTGCTGACCGAGCCCACGGCCGAAAGAAGCGAACAAACATTTGCTTGACCTGCGCGCGCCTCAAAAACTGTTGCCAGGCATGCATGCTGGACCTTTCCTTTGGGCTGCCCATCGTGGTTCGCGATGCAGCCTTGAAAATGGTAGCCCCGGGGCCATCGTCCGACATCAACCGCGAATATTTTGCGCAAAACAACGAACTCGCCATTGAAGAAGGTCGCGCGGGAGTCGAAGAATACGAAAAAACAGACGAAAAGGCCAGGGAACTCCTGCGAAGATTGGCTGCAAGTAAACCGTACTTTCGAAAGGGCCGTGCCGTCGAGAATCCCGATGACGAGGGTCAGAAAGGCTCCAGCTCAAGCGGCGGACTAGGTGGCAACCCAGCCGTCGGCGCCGGTGTCGGTGGTCCAGGACCTATTCGAACCAGGGACTCCAGAGCTGCCGCAGCTCTAGGTGCAAGGCCAGGCAGGCCGAAGCAAGCTTTTCCAAGCGCAGCACAGTTGCCTCCTGGACCACAGGATTGGATGCCTCCGGCTGACAAGAACATCATGTCCCTCTTCATCACCGGGATCGAGGACGACCTTCCTGAGCACAAGATACGAGATTTTTTCAAAACGCATGGCAGACTCAAGAGTCTGGTTTGCTCCCATATGTCACACTGCGCATTCGTCAACTACGAAACGAGAGACGCGGCTGAGAAAGCTGCCGCATCATGTCAGGGTCGTGCTGTCATTGCAGGATGCCCGTTGCGTGTGCGATGGGGTGTTCCCAAAGCAATCGGGACGATGGACAAGGAGCAGCGTTCACAGATGCTCATGGACGCTCGACGAGGGCAGGCGAACGCGCGGGGAGCGGATGGCAGAGGTGTTGAGAGGCAGATTGCCGGTCGCTCGGACGTAGGAAACGCCACTCAGTCGCCCGCTGCACCAGTCGTTGCACCCCCGCCAGGCGCAGACGATGGCGCACAGTATGTTAGTCTACAGGGCGACTGAGATTTGAGGGACCAAGGAAACTCGGGTAGCATCTCAAGGGAGTTTAGGCGTCATTGATTTCGTCAGGGTTTGACGACTGGAAATCGGGATGGAGTGGGAGGCTTCATACCAACTGCCTGGGTATCAATGGTTGTGTTATACATGTGTTTTGTTATACAATATTACAGGCATCTCTCATATGCCGCACTCGCCTCGATGTCCTCCCTTCAGCTGCAGCCACACCCGCCCATTGTTGCTGACCCGCCACCGGCCGTCTTGATAGAGTCGTTGTCTCCACGTTCGGTGTCCTCGTGAATGCGCAACTCTGCAGAGTCTTCGTCAGTAAACTAGCCAGCACAGGGTATGGCCGTATATCGATGCCCGCAACTTACTGAAGACGCGAGAATCATCCTGCTTTCCCTGAACTACATTTTCTCTTAGGATCTTGGCAATATCTTCAGCTTTCTGGATGGCGGAGCTGTAGGAAGGGTCTGTCGGCTTGAGTGTTGCTTGATCTCTAAAACCTTGCCGTATCTGCTGCCGCGCTGCAGTGAGGACTCGGTCATCGCCTACGAAAGAAGAAACGTCAATAACAAATACTCAAACAGGCGAGAGAAATCCAACCCTTGAATGCGATTCGCGCCGCGCGCCAAAGGTGTCGGTAAGCAGGCAGAGACATAGTAAAAGCAGTGAAGCTGTCGAGGAAGCCAATGAGCTTACGGCAATGATGAGGTCAGGAGGAAGTTGCCTGACTGGCGCATGGGTTTCGCAGAGAACAAAAAGTGATGTTCTAAAAATGCACCAGGTGCCTTCATAGACAGCGGCTCAGGCATTCGACACAAAAATGCTCCCGGCATCCGGAGAATCTTAGGGACACGCCCCCCTTTGTCCTAGCGCCACCCATACCTTCTCCAAAGAAAACTCTACCCCACGTTCCTGTAATTTTTTTTTTTGGAAATCAACGACGTCTTTGCTCTTCGAGACACACAAGCATCGACTGCGACAAACCAACTTATTCGCATCTATCAGAATGGCTTCCGCCATTGTTGTTCCCCACGTCCTCCCGGTCATTCCCGAGGGATGGTCCGCAGAGAAGGACTTTAAGACCGTCGGCAAGGTCTCTGCTGCCACTCAGCGAAGCCTCGAGCCTGTCGGCCCTCACTTCCTTGCCCACGCTCGCCGAGCCCGCCACAAGCGCACCTTCTCCGAGGATGATCGTATCCAGGCTCAAGAGGCCACCAAGAATGTCGAGAACGAAGATGACGGCGAGATCAGCGAGGCTGAGGACCCCATGATGCTTCAGCGCGACGCCAAGGATTGGAAGGTTAGTGACTGCCCCTTCGTATATGAGATGTTGCGTCTGTAGCGATCGACAACTGATTCCCGACTCCTATAGAACCAAGACCACTACCAGGTTCTGGGTCTGACCAAGTATCGCTGGAAGGCCACTGAGGATCAGATCAAGCGCGCCCACCGCAAGAAGGTTCTCAAGCACCACCCGGACAAGAAGGCCGCTGCTGGTATTGTCGACGACGACAACTTCTTCAAGTGCATCCAGAAGGCCACCGAGGTTCTTCTGGACCCCACCAAGCGTCAGCAGTACGACTCAGTCGACGAGAAGGCCGACGTCGATCCCCCCACCAAGAAGCAACTGGCCAAGGGTGGCAGCACATTCTACAAGCTTTGGAGCAACGTCTTCAAGGCTGAAGGTCGTTTCTCCAAAACCCAGCCGGTACCGACCTTTGGTGACGACAAGTCCTCCAAGGAGCACGTGGAAGACTTCTACAACTTCTGGTACAACTTTGACAGCTGGAGAACTTTCGAGTATCTCGATGAGGATGTCCCCGACGACAACGAAAATCGCGATCAGAAGCGCCACACGGAACGCAAGAATGCTAACGCCCGCAAGAAGAAGAAGGCTGAGGATAACGCTCGTCTTCGCAAATTGCTTGACGACTGCTCGGCCAGCGACGAGCGCATCAAGCGCTTCAGACAAGAGGCCAATGCTGCCAAGAACAAGAAGAAGTTTGAAAAGGAGGCCGCCGAGAAGAAGGCCCTCGAGGAGGCTCAGGCCAAGAAGGAGGCCGAGGAGAAGGCTGCAAAGGAAGCAGAAGAGAAGGCTAAGGTCGACAGAGAGCAGTCGAAGAAAGCCAAGGAGGCAGCAAAGAACGCTGTCAAGAAGAACAAGCGTGTTCTCAAAGGGTCGGTCAAGGACGCCAACTACTTTGCCTCTGGCGAGCCTTCCGCTGCTACCATTGACTCTGTTCTCGGTGACGTCGAGCTCGTCCAGGGCAAGATCGACCCTGACGAGATTGCGGCTCTGGCTGGCAAGCTCAACGGCCTTAAGGTGGCTGATGAGATTAAGGGTGTCTGGAGCGAGGAGGTTAAGAGATTGGTCGGCGCTGGCAAGCTCAAGGATGGCGACGCCAAGTCTTTGACTCAGTAAAGGAGACTCATGTTTTGATGAGCTCCGACATAGTTGTCTTGGTTTGGGCGTAGAACGTGACTAGACGCAATAGAATAGATAATCGGATGTCGGTTTTCATTAGATGACCCCCTGGCTTCATTTTGAGGTCCTGTACTGTTCAGTTCTTGTGAGTCGGACTGGCTCAGTCGAGACCTTTACTCGCAGCCTTTGGCCCAGTTGACTTTTCAACTAGAGGTCTTCATTATAGGCTGTCATATCATACCACATAGACATGGACTGGGCATTGCTTTTCATGGTTGAGGCGGTCCATTGGCCAATCGTCGAAAGAAAGTTCGGCCTTCTCAAGGAGGCTGCCACAAGGTAGGTCAGCAACCTTGTCTCGATCAACACATAGTACTGCCCCTCAACTACCAGACGCCGAATACGGGCCTCGAGTTCCAGTGAAAGTTTGTGGACTAGCAAAAATGTTGCCTGTTTGTTCCTTCTTCTTCTTCTTTGTGCTGTGAGGCCACAGCATCCCAGAATTCTCGGAAGTCCCCCGCCCCCATGATGTTTGAGCTGGGAAAGACTAACAACGAGGCATAAGTCTGGAATTAGCCTTGAAGGCAGCATAGAGATGGTGTACGAGTGAGTGGCATAATATTTTGCAGCTCCATAGCTAATCCCATTGTGCATGTTCCTTTTCCTACTGCTGCTGCTACTACCGCTATTGTTGTTGCTATTACTGCCATACCTTTTTATATACCTATGCCATACGGCATAAGCTTTATAAAGCGTAGTATAGTAGGTATAGTAATAGTGGTAATAAGAAAACGGCTAGTCGTGCGTTGACCAGTAGACTAGATCTGCGGTGCCACTGACCTTTGGGAGGGGGCTTCTTGTTATTCTAGAAAGGTAGACGTTTATGCTCCGGTACCTATCTCGTTCGTTGTCATCCTGGACGGCCTGGCATTTGTTCCCAGCTATGTATTCGTCGGCCTGGGCGCGCAAAATTCACCTCGTATTAAAAGTCACACGGGACAAACTTCTCCTTTACCACGCCACGCCTTCCGTGCTTCCATCGTCAGGCAAACAAACATACACCACTCATTCTTCTCTTCAGAAGTCTCTCGCGGCGACACCGGACAGACCATGGAGACTGATAATTCCTCCATATCTTGTTTTCACTGCTCCGATCTTCAGTTCTCGCCAGACTCGCCTTCCTCAGTAGTCGCACCTGCCTTCGCATCGCTCTTTCTCTCTTTCGCAGCCGCATTCCTCCTCCGACAAGCCACTATGACGACGATCAAGTGGGTTGAGGAAACCAATAATCCGCTGCCGCAAGTAGTGGTCTATTCTGCCCCTGAGGCCGTTGGTATTCCGATGACAGACCTCGGGATCGGCAAAGGCGGCAATAATGGCACCAGGGAGAACGAAGTACTTCACTCGGTCCATGTGGGTGACGATGCCGCCTCGACTATCGATGCTGAGAAAGGCTCACGTCTTTGGAACTGGAAGGCAATGATCGGTATATGCATAGGCCTTCTTATTCTCGCCATCGTGGTTCCTCTCACGGTCACATTGTCCATCAAGAATCACACGTCTGGTCCAGGCAATGCTGAGAACCTTGCGACTTCAACCGCCACATCATCGTCGCCTTCTTCCACGGCTACCTCTCTGACCTCGCTCCCAGCTCCATCCTCTACCCTGAAGCCGGTAAGCAGCAGGCCCTACTCGCCAGTCAACCCATTGTGTATGATGGTCCATTTTTTCTTCGATATCTGACAATTTATCATAGGTTTCCGAGTGTATTGAGTCCAAATTCATCCGAGAAGTCAACTGGATCGGTATTGATGAGGGTGGCGGCGGCTGGGTGTTCAACTTGCACCCGGCCAAAAGCGCTCAGGACTGCTGCACAATCTGCCACCTTGGAACTCCTGACGGTTGCAATGGGTGGCTTTACATACCAGAGAACTTATCGACGCCTTCGTGTTCCATTATTCACGGCTTCGACGGCCCGAGCGACAGTGAGTCCTGCCCGAAGGGTCGTCCAGACATCGTCTTCACAAAGACAGGAGATAGGAACAGCTATGGTGGACCGGGACCCTGCTCAGGCTCAGTGCGGGGATAAGAGTATTCGACTAGACAAGCCGAACAAGACTTGGCTACGGTCACTACGTCTACCGACCGAAGGGATTGTGGTAGTCGAGGTTCATTAGCGCCAAGGGACGGATGGTTACAGGGGTTTCTACATGTGTTGGCGTTTGCAGTTTGCGAGATACCCTTATAGTGGCAATAACAGCGAATTTTCCGAAGATAAACTCGTCACTGTTTACATTGAACAGCTGCATAACATCGAGCTATTTCACGGGCTCAAATGTGGTGGGGCTAAGCATTGCTGGCCGGGGCAGTCCCGTCCTGTTCTCGCCCGGCAGGAAGAGCCACGGAGAAATGGCAACTGTGAATGTGACGCCGATTTTCTATGGTCACATGCTGCCATCTCATGGCAACGTCTCCTCGGCCAATGTTTCGCCATAGGTACATTCTAGTGTCTCCCGCTCCATATTCCCCCCATTCTCTTTCTTATTTAGCCTATCTCTCTCATCATAACTTTTCTGGGCTGTCATGTCATATTATTTGCGGAATCACTCGTGCATGGGATCCAGTTTTGATGATGATGACGGTCTAAACCATGATAGAGGTCTAGACAAGGTAGACGGTAGACTGTGATATCACCAACGACCTGCCACTGATAGATCCACCCACTGGCTTTCCTCGAGGTCAGTAAGTGTTGATAATATGCTTCCAGTGGAATCACTTACATGAATAAACCGACGGCTATTGACTACACAGGGGCTTCACCAAACATGTAGAGCCACTCTAAAAAAAGCTTAGGTATAGTCTCTTACTCCAGAACTGACTCCATGTTGTGCCCGGGATAAGACAAGCCTATTAGTCCGAATCAAGCGAGCAATGTTAGGGGCTGGACCAAATACTATCTCCTAGTTTCTGGGTCCTCACAGTCACGACAACTTGCCCAGCATCAGTATTCGAGGGGAGCATCAAGCCCAACAGGACAGCGACGGGGCGGAATGGGAAACAATCCTACAAGCCTGTTAAACTTTCCCCGACTGATAAACTCGGACTTGGCGACGGTACAACGTGTCGAAGCTCGGCAGGCCACTCAGTGACCCTAGCCATTTATCGGACATATGAGGAACGGGACTACGCAGCTCAACATATGCCAGTGCTGAATATTCGACACGGGCACTATGCTCCGCAAGTTTGCTGTGCAACGTCCAAGGCTCCAAACGAAACATCATCAAGAAAGGGCATGATTGCAGCACGTGAGGGCTTTATCGTTTCGAGAGACAAATTTCTGCTGAAAACACCCGGGCCGCCACGACAACGTAGTACCCCCAAATGGGTAGCAAGAGGCTGATGGCCAGCACACAGGGTTAGTTACCTATACGACTGAACGATCCTCAGGGAATCGCACAGAGCCCATAATGTGGCATCCGTTTCAGTGACAATGACTTTGGAAAACGTCTCGAAGGTCGCTTACTTGACAGGAAGTCGGCGGAGCCACCAAAGAATGCTCAGATAAGAAGCACAGCCGTTGGGTGCTCAGTCATCTTTGCGCGTGGCTTTGACGCGGCTCTGCGTCTTGAAGTTGCCGGCCACGCCGTCATACGTAACCACACAGCCCTCTATGCGGTTCGAAGCGATCAAAACGCAGGCCTGTGCCTCAGCCGAACGGCTCGTCCCATGACTTGAAGTCTTTCATGCAAGCTAGGCAGTAAAAGATTCTCAGCATCAACGCCAGAATGATCCCCTCGCTCCCAAAGAACAACTGATGTAATTGGGCGCTGACTGTCAAACACAGAATATCCTTAGAGTGCTGATCAACAGCACTGCTAGGCTATGTCGGCGGGGAAAAAGGGAGCAAAGCGTAAAGAAGTTGGGATCTGGTCATTGCCGTGTACTCTCGGTCCCATACAAGTTCGTGATTTAGGTTTTAGGAACAAATTCTCACGCTCCTGCGCTCCTGCTCGGCGGAGCGTCGAAAACCTAGTTGATCACATTGCGCGGTCATCTTCTCCCGATGTCCAATCAACATGATGTGACGAACACGGCAATGCCAAGTTCCATCGCCGATGACAGTGATGATGGAACGAGACCATACGTCAGGGGCGAAGACCAAAAGGATGAGAAGAGAAACAATCACCAAAGACTCCTGCTGTGATACCTGTCTGATTCACATATATAAGTGCTCACAACAACCGCGCTCAAAGACAGATGTGACCATGATCATTGACACACTACAACTACAACACAAGCACCTCTTCGATAATCTCTATATACACCATCTCAGACTACACCACACGAAATAGTCTCCCAACATATTCATCATTATTTAACATGAAGACCTCATTTATCGCCATCCTCGCTGCCGCCGCCGGCATGGCCATTGCTGACAGCCTTGACGTGCCCGACTGTGCAAAGCAGTGTGTTAATGACGACATCCAGAAGAGTGGCTGCGCTCAAGATCAGATCAAAGATTGCTACTGCCAGAAGGCCAACGTCAACTCACTTGTAAACTGCGTCAGCGGCGCCTGCAAAGACCAGAACGACCTGATCAAGGCTGCCCAGGCTGCACAGAAGTCTTGCCCACAGCTCACAGGCGGCGGCTTCATCCCTGGTACAAACAATGGCGGTGGCAACAACAACGGCGGCAACAACGGAGGAAAGAACTAGGCTTCACCAGAGTTGACTCATTGATACAAATTGCCGTGTATCGACCGGGTCTCACCTCCAAAGCTAAGGGGTTGTTTTCGAGCCCAACATGGTGCTGTATGCATGAGAATTGCGCACAGCGTAAGAGGAGAAATTGGGGGGAGCCAAGTCTGGAAGGGGTTTTTTTTTTCGGTGCTGGTGTTATTGACAAGTTGCGGTCATGATTCTTGTACACATGCGTGCAATAACATTGGTTTTAGCCAGGTAGAAATCCATTTCTCTCAACTTTTGGGGCAATCTAATTTGCCTGCGGAGTGTCAAATGCTCTTGGTCATATGACAAGCTAGCCATTACTCTGAATAGATAAATATTACGGCGGCCCATAGTCCATGTTAGTTGGCGTTGCTAGCTGTGAATATTGCAGTTGGTTGGGTATCGTGCGTACTGTATCCTGTGTACAATCTCCTGATCTATGTCACAAAAGTGGAATCTTGCTGTAAATATCATCATAAATCTTCCCAATCCAGCCGTCCGTCGGACCACCTCTTGCCACAATTCCCAGTCCGCCGGCAGCCCAGATGCCGGCCGCAGCTACAGCGGCGCCGTGAAGCGCCCACCACGCTCTTCGTTTCCGCCGTCGTACCTTTTTGTCTATCACGTTGTGTCCACTACCACTCCACCCCATAGCCGTTGGCGCCAGGCCCAGCCATTTTGCTGCGCCCCAAACCATATGTCCGCAGCCTATTGCGAGAAGACCGGTGTATGCAAACCACGAGATGATGGGATGTCGAGCAAACCCATGCGAAACGAAGCCCAGGCCAATGTTCGAGCTATCGCCATCAACTTGAAGGGGAAGGATCCGATTAATGCCTGCGTGAGCAGCGAGAAGAACCGTGAAAACGTAGCCGGAGATAGAAATGTAGCTGACGGACGGCCATATCCTGCTAGCGGAGTTGACGCTATTGTAGGTCAAGGTTCGTGATGTTTTGCCGGTCTGAGCTCGATACAAGGCGTACATGCCAGGTGTGTTGCCTCCATAACGCTTTAGATTCTGGGATCTGCGAACCAGGCGAAGAGCGAATCCAGAGGCAATGTGTGCAGCGATGGGCAACGCTACGAGAAGTGGCTCCGTAAGAGATGTTTGGTAAATCTCTCTCGAAAGTAGCAGGTATGCCTCGGACGCTGGGACTGATCGCGCAAATAGTGGTATTATCGAGGTGTTGACGATGTGAAGTGATGTGAAAACTGGTACTAGGTAGGAAGAAAACTTCTGGATCCGTGTTACTAGAAAGTTTGTACGCATTAGCCAATCTAACTTGCAATTGAAGGCGAGAGGTTCTGTCTCTGCATTCGCATTTGCTAACTTACGGTAGAAGATGGCGCTGTGACCGCTGCCGCTTAATCCGGGCGCAGAAGAGGTTGATCTGAGAGAGCCAGTGCTACTCTCTAGGACATCTTCAGGCAGAGGAGGAAGATCTTTATCAACGTCCGCTGGTGGCGTCTCGATTGGGGACGGGTCTAGTTGAAGGAGCGATATGAGAGTCTCTTCCGACGGTTTTGAGTGAAGAGATCTGGACTCCATGGCTACGCTAGCGCCGGCACGACCGAGACCGGTCTTTGGAAGCAGAATATGTGTAATTCGAATCCGAGCTGTACAGATTAGAGACTTGGAAGGTGAAGTTAGAATTGTCGGCCAGCCTCCAATTGTCAAACCGGGCAGCTGATCAATCCTCGGGACGTCATAGGTTGACGTTGCAAGGGCGGCAGCACTTGCCAGTTCCCGCGTCTGAGCCTGCAGGTTTAGTGGGCCTGCGTCAATCCGGAGAGCCGCAAGACCTTCATGCTACAAACTACCGCAAGGTACCTTACCCGGCTTAGCCTTGCCTCACCTTCACTCATCCAAAACTTACTATATCCATAGCCTGGCCATCTTATTTAGGTGAAAACACTGATATTTCCCCCGATAATGATATATTTTCCACACTTAAGACGTGTTTAGCGGCCAGATGTAGATTAAGTCTTTCTCGGCAGGGTGTCCATATGTGGTGTATGAAGTACCTCAGGTATCTGTGATGTTCAGGGCCTGCTGCGGCTCCCCGCACAACGTTGTGGGTCCAAGTTACTGGGACTTCGGAACCTGCGAGCTTGGTAACATCTCAGCCAGGACTCCAAAATACGATGATAACATTTCCCCATACCCACCAACCATCACATATTCCCGTTGCGCCTGACCCGTAGCTCTTCGCTATCTTAATTCTAAAAACATGCCTCCGGTAAGAGAACTTCTAGTTCTTCTCTCTGCTTGACCAAACTTCTAATTCTACATGCGCTTGCCCAGCGACACCAAACACTGCCCCCGGCGCAGACCGCAGCCGCCCGCGAAGCCCTGCAATCTTTCTATTGCAGCCTCTGTTCGAAAGGATACTCTCGCATGAATGATTACGAGGCGCACCTTAGTAGCTATGATCACAGCCATAAGCAACGCCTCAAAGACATGAAGGCTATGGTTCGCGATCCGAACGCCGGCGCCCGAGCCCGGAAGGCCGAAGCCAAGGCAGATGGCCTGGTCAGTATCAAGCTCGCCAACAATGAGCAGCCGCAGCAGTCTACGGGAGGTGGGGGATTCAAGAAGGGCGGCTTCAAGAAGTCAGGTTTTAAATCGGCATTCGCCCCCGTCGATGCCCCAAACGCGCTAGACGCCCCGAGATCAAAAGTCGGCCAAGCGCTAGAGGCAGACAGACTTGCGAACGCACGCGAACGGGACGTCCTGATCGAGAGCGATACCGACGACGAAGACTACGAACATTACGACCCACGATACCCCACCGAGTGAAAGCTCAAGCCAAACGTACGACAAACATCATGCATAATAGAGCCAGCTAGAGCTTGAATGGACGCAGGAGCAGATTAAGGCCATGAGGCGTTTCGACAATATTTCCATTCTGTATGGGCTCACAATGTCATGTGGCGAAAGCTGAAATCGCTCCTTGGCCCTCGCGTTGCTAGCCACTGCCTAGCCTCCCATCCTCGGGTCACTCTCGGAGATAAGATCGTGTCAGGGAGGTCACGATTGGTAAATTGTACTCAACCTGGCGGGAATGCGACGACTCATTCCCGGCCGTTCCTTCGCAGCCAGTCTAGTTGAACTGGGACAGGTCTTCTTCAAGCAATCCCATCATGTATTGGCTACCCGAGAACCAGTTGCCCAGTTGAGCAGTTTGAAGGGTAGGCTGCGACATACCGCTAGTATCCATGCCCTGAGCAGGATACTCCGTAGGCGGGAATCCCAACGCGCTCAGATAGACATCAAATTCGTCGTTGATGGGGCCGCGTTCATTCGATTGCTGGGACTTGCTCTCCACGTATAGAGTCGCCACGTTACAGAGCATTGAACAGAGCTGGTGAAGCTTCTCTACAGGCTCCGACATAGCGCATGCGGGTCGAAGTGAAGCAACGAACTCATTCAGCTTCTTGAGGTCGTCAGCGTTGGAAGTGTCAATGACGTGACAGAAAAGGACGAAGAAGGGTGTGAAAGGCGTGAGGAGAATTGCCCTACAGAGGAGTCAGTATGGATCGTAGTCAGTCTACGGCTTCGACTGACCAGTGAATATAGACTGCTTTAAGATGCCGCCCTTCCTCAGCAATTCTCTGCATGCATTCGAGGTGCAGCTGCATGGCAAATCGTGCCGTGTCTATACATTCCTGAGAAAACCGTGTTGGCGAACCTTCGGGCGCTGGCAATGCCCTGTAGATGAGAGTCAACGTGGACTGAAATGTCAGTTCGTCGCCTCGCAGGTGTATGTCCAAGATAGACGATGCGTTGAGGGCCTTGAGGCCGAAGAGAGCCTGCTCCCGCACATGCGACGCAGCGGCCATGATCGTCTTTTGTTCATTTTCCAGGCGACGCACGGTCTCGATGCGCTCTTCTTGCGACTGGTCCAGAGCAAGCGGACTGTACCTGCCATGCAGGTTAGCTTAATATTTTGTCTCATCGAGATAGTGGAGTCGAACAATTGTTCATAAACGCGGTGTTGGATCTCAGCCTGCTTGATCCACGTTGTTATGATGAGACCCCATGGATCTGCAACCATGGTGTTGTCGACCCGTCGCGGCAAGGTGACGTCCCAGTCTTGGATGACCGATGCTCTCCCAGTTCTCAGAGACAATGTTTTGTCGAGCATATACACATGCCAGAACAAGAGGGTCTTGATGTCTCTAGTCCCGGCGCTCTCGCTCCTCACTTGCGATATGCGGTGGTAGCCAAGCGTCTGACACAAGCTTGCAGCAGTGGATGTGAAAAGCCACGCGAGCGACGCTTTAGATACATCCACAGCATAAACGGCCTGTAGTCGCTGTTAGCTGTATCGTCTACAAACAAGCACAGCAAGACTTTTTACGGACCGCCAGGAGCAAGGCTTCTATGCTTTCGACCTTTGCAGGGAGCATCAAAGGCAAGGAAGCTAGCGCCATTTCTAGATTGCTCTGGCACATATGCTGGTACCTCTCAAACTCTTCGCGCGCAGTCGCATCCGATGCTAGGTATGCTTGTTCCATGAACAAGTAGAAGAGCGCCCCATTCACTATGATGAAGGTGGTATCAGCAAAGTTGTCGGTGCAGAAGTACACTCTCCGACAGAGCTCGGCCAGGTCATCAACATCGAGGAAAGAGCATGCGAGTGAAAAGATGCTGGGAGGAGAAACTACTCTCATGTCAGTGTGTTGAACTCTGAAGATCAGGGATGAGAGGACCTTTCATATGCTTGAGCAAAGCAACGACGGCGTTCATCGGCGGCATGGGCAATTCAGGCAGACCTCCTGGAGGAAGCGGCTGATGCGTACGGAACCGAAAATCTCGATTGGAAGAGGCCTTGCTCTGCATAGCGACGATCTGCCGGAGGGAAGAGAGCGCAGCTTGCATGTTGGGCGCCACGTCCTGGAGCGATGTCCTCTGCACGGCGTCTTCGATAAAGTCGCTGGCAAACATGGTGTGGGCAGTCAAAGAGAGGTCGCCCTCGAAAGCTGAATCCGAGTCTGCACCGTCGTGGGATAGGACAGAAGCATCCCCGATGGTCGAGGCTGAGGGCGTCGTATGTCTGGCCCTAGTGGCATCCCATGAATGACCACCTACGCCAGGAGGGTTGTTGCTGAGGCTCCGCAGGAGCTCCTCGATATTCGAAAGTCGTTCCTCGATGAGATCAATCTTTTTCTCACTGGTTATGGGAGTGTCAACATTGG